TGAAAGAAAGAAAGTAGAGACGCTTATTAAAAACTTAAATAAAAAGTTTACATCAAATGAGAACGTAAGCGAAGACATACGGGAGAAATTAAAGTGCTCTATAAAAGTAAAGATATATCCATAAAAGATAATTATGACAAAAATGGTCTTTCCAAAGCATTTGCATATTCTGCTTGTGTAACATGCCCGTTATGTTCAGTGCTTGTTAACTTTACAAAAGTCGGAAGCAGATGGATGATTTCAAATATTGCTCGTCACATTGAGACTCATAAAAAATCTGTTGGACAGAAAAAGGCGGTTTTAAGTAATGTTAAGTCAATTAAGGAATCTTTTAAGATATCCAGCGATATATCTAACGAAAGTCAACATACTGATGATCTTACATTAGCTGTGATTGCAGAAGGAACTATTGTTAATAACGAGTTGGTGCTTTCGTCCGTAACAATTCCGTAAATATTACCGATACATTTTTTATTGATTTAACCAATAATCCGATGCATAACTCTACTTTGGATTCTGGACGTCATTCAGAATCTTCAGATAAAAAGACAAATGAAATAAGCCTGAACAAGACTCAGAATATATTATCAAAACTGTAAGCATGAAGGAATCTAAACGATTAACTGAATCTTTTTCCGCGTCTAATAAAACAGTTGAAAATCCAACAACCCATGAATCTTTACCATCAACGTCTAAATCACTAAATAATGTCAGCAAGGATATAGATAGTGTTTGGGGGAAATGGTAGATCAAGATGTATCGAACAAATTATCTCGAAAAAACAATTTCTCTAAAAAATGTTCGTACTACTAATAATTCTCGATCGCGATCAGAAAGAAACATGCGTAAATTGTTCTCTTCTGTAGATGAAACTCAACCACGAATTTCATGTTACTTTCCTGTGCTCAATCGTTTAGATGTTGAAATTAATCGAAATAAAGAATTAAATTTTTCTATTAAACATTTTCTGGGAAAACACTCAGATAATTCTGCAAACCATGATATACAATATGAGTCAAATGAAACGCACAAACCTCATTTTTTTAAAAATTAATGAACACTGCTCTATCTAACACAAGCAAAAAGAAGGGGGGACAACGATACGACGATACACTTAGGCTTTTCGCAACTTATTTATTTGTTATCGGTGGTCGAATGTTGTATGAAACATTATCTGTGAACTTGCCCTTACCTTCTTTGAGTACAATAAGTCGTACGTTAGATAATTCGGGTTGTTTAATAATAGAAGGTGATATGCAAGTCACGGAATTAGAAAAGTTTTTACACATGAGAAAACTACCATCTTATGTATGGTTAAGTGAAGATCTAACCCGAATAACCTGTCGTATTCAATATGACTCTAAATTGAATCAACTCGTTGGTTTTCCTTTACCGTTGAGCAATGATGGAATGCCTGTAACACACTCATTTACAGCTACTTGTGCTAAAAAAATAGAAGAATACTTCAGTACTAATAGTCCTGCCACTTTATTATATGTAATAATTGCACAACCGCTCGTATATCAGGCACCTTCTTTTTGTTTGTGTTTATACAGTACTGACAATAAATTCAAAGGTGATGATGTTATTAAGCGATGGTCTTACACTGTTAAACATTTAAATGATGCAGGTATAAGAGTTCTAGGTATGTATTTTGATGGTGATCCTCGGTTATTGCGAGCAATGCGAATTGATACAAATACCGGTGTTTTTAAACAAACAAATTCTTGTGAAATTAGTCAAGTTCCTCCTGCATTACAATGCACTTTGGAGTCATTACCAAAAACTATTTGTATACAGGATAGGGGAGACCGGGGCTAAACAGTCTGGATTTTTTTGGTGCCGATTTTTAATAACAAAATAAATAATTTAAGTTAAATATTGTATACCACTGTAAAGAGTGAACCTTTAGCTACAAAATTTATTTAAGAAATTTTTATCTACATCGCTTTGTTTAACCGGTATGGAGCAAAAACGACAACAATGCAAAAATTGAAATCTAAAAAATGCCGGGGTTAAAGCGTCCCCCCTGGGGTTAATCAGTCACACTGCATTTTCTATACATATACGTACATCTAATCCTGAAAAATGATAGGATACATTTTAATAATTGTTTTTTAAGAGAAAAATATAAAAATTTATTCAAAATTTTTATGCAAAACATTATTAAAAAATAATTGTTTTACCTATTCCATAAAACAATTTAGGCACGTGAATACAAATTCTGACGAGCGCACGACGACGACGACGACGACCACCACCACCGCGACGACCACCACCACCTCGACGACCACCACCACCTCGACGACCACCACCACCTCGACGACGACGACGACGACGACCACCACCTGTACGACAACGACGACGACGACGACGACCACCACTTCGACGACGACGACAACGACGACGACGACGACGACGACGACGACCACCACCACCTCGACGACGACGACGACGACGACCACCACCACCGACACCACCACTGCTACAACGGCGGCGACAATGACGCCGAGACGATGCGACAAACGCTGGACGATGCGGTCGCACGTGCGACTGTCACTGACACAACGACCAACACCGACGATCTACCGCGGCCGGGACGATCTACCACGCGCGCGGCATGTCAACTCTCGCGCGGAAATCGCGGGATCTCAGAGCCGTGCCGTGCCTCGCCGCGCCGTACCTCGCCGACGTGCCGTGAGCGCGAGCGATCTCGAAAACAACGGTCCGCCATCTTTTCGGTCGGCCAAAATTCCAAAACACACGTTTTGCGACGATACGTGCGTACCATTTCCCTCTTATACAAACTGACGCACGTGCAAGGGAAGACAGAATCACGCTCGAGGGAAACCTAACCTGAAATCGCCGTGAACTGAAGTCGTGCGCCCGGCGCGCCACAGTGACGAGATTAGCCCGATTAGCCCCGGGTGCTTGTAGACTGATTAGCCCCAAACACAAGTTTCAGGTTTGATTGCCCATGAAATATTAGACATCAATGATAATGAAAAAACTACACTGGATTCGTGTTCAGCATGTATTACTCTTTATAATCACGTACCTCGAGATTTGGAAAGCAAATATTATTGCAGATAATACAAAATTTCCACGCGCAGAAAATTTCACTTTCACCTTCCGAAAACACGTTTGCCCTCGTAAAAATCATAACACGGCAGGTAACCTGCCGAAACTCCGTTGGTCACATGGGTACCATAAGCAGAGTTTACAATGTTAATAGCGAATTCGCACAATATACCGGTTCCGAGATATTTGATTAGACGTATTTACCCCGTAGACGTTTTAACCCCGGTCTCCCCTACTGTGCATATTGGCACCAAGCTCAAAACAAGAATACTGAAAAACTCCATTGTATTGCCAATGGGAAATTATTTAGTTTCAGCTAGTCAGTCACTTGCATATTCTGCTAGACACAGTTCCAAAGGACAAACATTGTTTAACTCGAAAAGATTTATCCTTAAAAGATAGAATGAACTTTATTCCTTCAGTATTATAAATATCAGATTCTAAAGTCTCCGAGCTATTAAAAAAACATGTTTCGAAAAGTGAAGGAACTGTAACGTATTTATACGTTATCCGCTTGTGTTTGAGTGCATTTTTAAGCAAAACATTAAGCCCATTAGAACGAATTTATAATATATGGTATTGTGTTTTTTTTCTACGCTTATGGAGAGCTTGGCTATACACGCACATTCACAGTATTCCATAACTGATAATTTTATAACTTTAAATGCGTATCTATATGTATCGAGATAAACGCACAAAGTTTGATAGATGTTATAAAGTTACTGAAAGAAATTGATTCTCCCGAACTATTTTTACCCTGGAAATTCAGCAGTCAACCGTGTGAAGATTTCTTTAGACATTTGCGTTCAACAAGTTCTACATTTTCAACTATAGTGAATTGTAGTGTTTTAGAAGCTATCCACAGAGTTAGACGTATCTAACTTCAAAGTGACATATCAACAAGTAATTCTAACGTATCAACTGAAGGATATAAATTTCCACGCGCTCAAAAATCAAGTTCATTTTCCAATAAATCAACATTTAAACTTCCCTCTTTGGATGAAATGGAATATACTATTGAATCAGCAAAACAAGATGCTTTCATCACGGTATCATTACTAGGTATGACAGTACCCATATCGGATGCAGAAAATAGAATCATACATGACATTCATATTATTGATTCTGATGATTCAACTGTAGATTCATCTTGTACAGAAGAAGATAATAATGTATCTTTATCGTCCAATTCTAATGAAATAAATTCAGTAAATGAGATTGAAGATAATGAAGAGTTTGATTTATTGGAAGACTTAACGACACTTTCGTGCGTTCAGGGTAGTTTAGAACTAACTAATTTCGACAAAATAACAACAGAAATTAAGCCTGACAGTCCTTTTACGATTGTAACCGATTCCTATGGCAAGGAATTAATAGTAAGGAAATCATCAATATGTTGGCTTCTAAGTAAAAACTTGTGCAAATTAAGCAGCAACAGATTACAGCGTGTTAGGGAATCTGAATTAACTACATATATACAAAATTGCGTTTTACACAAGGGAATGATGAGTACAAAAAATGTGATGAAATATTTATCGGTGATTGGTGCTTATTTAAAAGATTAAATAATAAAAAGTGCTATATTGGTCATATTCTTAGTTTCGCGTATACAAATGGCAAAACGTGGAAATCTATCGAATATTCAAAGAGTTTTGCAAAAACAGAA